AAGAAGAGGAACAAGAACAGGAAGAGGAAGAGGAAGAGAAACAGGAAGGGGAAGAAGAGGAACAGGAAGAGGAAGAAGAGGAACAAGAACAGGAAAAGGAAGAGGAACAGGAACAGGAAGGGGAAGAAGACGAACAGGAACAGGAACAGGAAGAAGAACAGGAAGAAGAAGAACAGGAACAGGAATAGGAAGAGGAACAGGAAGAGGAAGAGGAACAGGAAAAGAAACAGGAAGGGGAAGAAGAGGAACAGGAACAGGAATAGGAAGAAGAGGAACAGGAACAGGAATAGGAAGAAGAGGAACAGGAAGAGAGACAGGAAGGGGAAGAAGAGAAACAGGAACAGGAAGAGGAAGAAGAACAGGAACAGGAAGAAGAGGAACAGGAAGGGGAAGAAGAGGAACAGGAAGGGGAAGAAGAAGAGGAGGAACGGGAAGGGGAAGAAGAGGAACAGGAAGGGGAAGAAGAAGAACAGGAAGGGGAAGAAGAGGAAGAGGAAGAACAACAAGAAGAGGAACAGGAAGAGGAAAGAAAGAAAGAACGAACAAATGAACGAAGGTGGCGGCAGTTGCCCAAGAACAGTGCTGCGTTTGCTGACACGCTGAGCCAGGCTTTGCAATGGAGAATCTTATTCCAGAGAAAATGTCTCTCAGAGAATGAAGAAAAAAGCAGGCTTTTTGAGACCAACCCCCCAACCTTCCATGCCCCCCAAACCACAAAACCAAACAAACCTGCGAGCAACATTACCAAACAGAACACACTGGGCTAAGCCCTAAAGCAGGCTTCAGTGCCCCAGTAGTACTCGGCTGCTGAGCAAATGCAGGCGGGGGCGGGGGGGGACACACACACATGTACGAGTGAATGTGCGGAGCACGCTGATGTCCCCTGAGCACAGAGGAGGCATGTGCTGAGTGAGACGGGGGCACACTGAGTTACGCCGCTGATCGGGAGGGTGATGTGAGGTGGCCAGGCTGTGGTACTGCCTGTGACGATGCAGACACTGGTCGGCATCTCGTGGAGCCAAGAGGACAGATGCGGAGCCTAGCACTCTGGGAGGCTGAGGCAGGAGGGTTGCCAAGTTCAAGGCCAGCCTGGACAACTTAGTGAGACCTTATCTCAAAATTAAAGGAACTCAGTGGTACAGCACCCTTGGGTTCAATTCTCACTAATGAAGGAGGGAAGAAGAAAAAGAACAGCAGGACAAACTAGAAGGGAGGGCTCCTCCACAGGAGAAAGGGGCTCCAGGACATAGTGGCTGCTGGCTCAGGCTGAAAGACACTCTCAGATGGCACTGCAGGTGCAGAGGAAAAGAAGCCCGGAAGAGGCGGTCGCGGAGCAGACCAATGCCACAGCAATACTTTCACACAGCAAGAGCCTGTGGGCTTTACAGCCAACATAGATGTGAAGCAACACGCCAGGCAAAAAGGAAGCGAACCGGGCTGGAGAGATGGCTCAGTGGTCTAGGGCACCTACTTAGAACAAGCTTAGCAAAGCATCAGGGACCGCGGTTCAATCCCCCAGCACCACATGCCAGCCAGCCCCGCCCCCTGGTGGGCTGAGCTGGCCACACACACACACACACACACACACACACACTCTCTCTCTCTCTCTCTCTCTCAAAAATAAATAAAAAAAAAATTAAAAAAAAAAAAAAGGAAGCGAACCATGTGACAGTCTTGAAATTGCCCAGAAAGAGGCGAAAACAGGTTTAGGTGGACTGAAATAGGCCAAAGATGATACACAATGTGCAAAGTCCGTAGCTCCCACAGGAGCGTCCAGGGCTAAGCACAAGGGTTAGCAGTGGGTGACTGCCAGGGTGCGGTGGGCACAGACAGGAACAGTGGCGCCTGGGGAGTGCGAAGGAGCCCACACTCTGGTCCCCAGTAACAACCCAGTGCAAATAGAGCAAGCATTCGGATTCACAGAAGAGAACTGTCAGTGGGGCAAGCGCAAGACCCGCCATTAACAGGTGCTCTTTGCAGGAGACAGAGTTGAATTATAAAGGCACCAGCAGACTACAAAGGTTAACAGAAGACATACACCTTGCAAACACTGATCTGCAGAAAGCCAACGTGGCTGTCCCACTACTAGGAAGCAGCAGGACTCCGAGGAGGACTCGTGGAGGCAGAGAGCACCCTGAGAGCAGGAGGGAGGGTCTGGGGCATGGCGAGGAGCACAGCTCTGACTCACTGGCTCCCTCTGTGTCAGCGTGAGCCGGCAGCCCCCGGCGTCCAGGGAGAAGCGCAGGGCCTCCAATGGCTGAGGCTTACACCCCCCTCTGGGGTACGTCAGAGAAGAAGCAGGTGACAACCAGGGGACACCGAATGGCCTTTTTAGAGCACAGCCTCTAGTGAACCCGGCATGCATGCTCTGCTCCCAGGCAGCCAGCTGATGGGCGATTTGCCGATTTGCGGGGCTCTGCCTGGGAAGGCTGAGCCGGGCTTCAAGGGACTGGAAATGACCTTGATGGGGAACAGCTAGATAGATGAGCAACAGCAAGGTCTCATCCACGTGCACACTGGAATCACACACCATGCACCCTGACGACATGCACACTGTACGTCACTGGACAGAAAGGGAGCTATCTGAGCCATCCAGGGAAAGGATTAAAGTCAAAATGCCCTGGTGTGGGGGCTGTCTCAGGCCCTCAAAAGCATGGGCTCTTCTTCCCCTGGCATTGTCCTCTTCGCGGGTGCATGGTGCTGGACCCAGACTGAGGATGTGGGCCTGGAGCAAGGAGGGCCAACAGGGCCTGCCAGAGCCCAGCCACCCACCAGAGCAATCCAGGTAGCCTGGCCACAAACAGAACAGAACTTCTAGGGCTGCTGCGGGTTCAAATGAGACCAAAAAGGAAATGGCTACAAAGGTGCAGAGGTGACATCCCTCCAGAGGCGCCGAGGCGCTGTCCTCTTGATAAGCCAGCGGGGTCGGGGGATGGGCAGCAGGAATCTGGGTGCCCGATGCCCAGACGGACGCCCGAGTCCCCACCTGCGCATCTCACCGGACCAGGGCGTAGTACTGCTGGGTCAGGGTGCTCCACTCGGCCTCGGTCAGGCCCTCCACGCTTCTCGCCAGCCCGTCGATGTCCTCATGCTCCCGCTGCCCCAGGTAGGCCTGGCACACCCGGCAGGCCACATCCACCAGCTGTCCCGGGAGACCCCTGAGCTTCTTCATGGCACCCTCAGGATCTGGAACCCAAGCACTGGCGCTGGGGGGTCTGCCGCAGGGACACGGCACACACCCCAAGCTGCAGGGCACCCAGAATGCCACCTGTGCTAGGCAGTGCCCTCAGCCTGCTGCGAGCGTCACCCCCAGAACCAGAGCACGTCGCAGGGCACGGGCTCCCGAGTCTGTGCTGGGTCGTGAGGCCCCAGGACACAGGAGCACCACTAGGTCTCAGGACAGGTGTGAGAAGGTGGGTCTCAACCGCCCCAGAGTGCAGGCTGCAGGCTGAGAAGCACCCCTGCTGGCCCTGCTGTGGGGAGCCCAGGGGTCTCCCCGGGACAGGTGGGGGCACAAGCTCAGCAACCATGCGACAGCTGCAGAGGTTACAGTGGGCAGGTTTGAGCCTGAAATCCCCAGAACAAAAGTAAACCAGCTCACAGAGAACAATGGTACCTCTAGTTTCAAAGATGGAAGAGAGGGGACGTCACCACTCCCTCCTACCAGGAAGAGCTGAATAAACAGAAAAAAAAAAATCAGCTACTCTCTGGAGAAGAGAGGTCAGAGGCAAAGCCAGCATCCCCACAGCTGGAGACTCGGAAGCACAGGCGAGCAGGCAGAGGCCTCCACAGCTAGGCAGGGCAGGAAAGCAAGCTGGGCATGGACCTGCTGGTGGTGCCAACTCCAAAGGAGGATGGAAGAACAGGAACAGGTGACAGGCAGAAAAGGGGAGCAGAGGCCCAGAGATCATGAAATGCTAGTGGCCTAAGTGCACAAACTACAAGACGGGTTGCCAGAGTCCATGAAGCAAGACCAAACCGCATGTGCTTCTCTAAGAAACGCTAGAAAGAGATATTAGATCAAAAGACACATTATGCTGGGGCTGGGGAGATAGCTCAGCAGCATAAGAGACTGCCTGGCAAGGGCAAAGTCCTGAGTTCAATCCCTGGTACCGTATACCATTCTGGCCAGGAACCAGGCATGTGGCTCATGCCTGTAATCCCAGCGCTAGGGAGGCTGAGACAGGAGGATCACTATGAGTCCAAGCTTAGTAGCGAGATCCTGTACAAAATGCATTTTAAAAAAAAAAAGCACAAGGGAAAAGCTGATAGAACTTCAAGGACAAAATAAGATACACTGTCATGATAGTAAAATTTCCACACTATTGTGGACGTGACAAGTCCAGCAGTTGGTCAGTGAGGACACAGTGCACACACTACCCATCAGCTGGACACCACTGATGCCCACACAGCTCTCCAATCACAGCAGCGCACACACATCTTAAGTTCATGCAGAACATTCACCAACATGGGCCACAGTCTGGCCATGAAACAGACATTAACAAATTCAAAAAACCCAAGAAACCAGTGTCTGCTCTCAGACCACAAGGGGATTAAAATGGAAATCAATAAGACAAAGATATCTGGGGACTCTTGAAGCACTTGGAGATTAAAGAATACAATTCTAAAAAGAGAAATTTGAAGCCAGGTGTGGTGGTGCCTGCCTGTCATTGCAGCACTCGGGGAGGTCGAGGTAGAAGTATCACAAGTTCAAGCCGGGCCTTGGAAACGTGGTGACTCAGCAAGATCTTGTCCCAAAATAAAAACTAAAATGGGTTGGAGATATAGCTCAGTGGTAAAGCCCTGAGTTCAATCCCCAGTACTGAAAAAATAGATAAAAAGAAAGACTGAACTAAATGACAATGAAAACACAACTTGTCAAACTTAACCAAAATTTGCAGGATGCAACAGCAGTGCTTAGAAGGAAATGCAAACTACCTAATGCTTTATAAATAGAAAATAAAAAGGGATAAATTAATGATCTAAGATTCCACCTCACTTCAGGAAATCAAAAAATGAACAAGTTAAATCCAGAGTAAGCAAAAGAAGAGTAATAAAAATCAAGGTGGAATCCTGAGGGCATTTCACTGACCTTCTCAGACCAAAAAGCTACAACTCTCGTTGCATAGGTCCTCCTGCTTTACCTTGGTCTTAACTATCCAGCAGAAAAGTATGAAGACGAAATTATAAGAAATAAAGCCATGCTGTTAAGATGAGCTGTGGGGGACTCAGGTCAATAATTTCTGACATTGCCAGTTAAACAGAAGACCCAATGCTATTATGGGCTACTGGACTCTTTTAGAATATTTTGCTGAGTTTACACACCTATAATATTCAATAACGGAACTTAGAAAAAATGGGGTATACAGATGAATGTCCATTTTGTATCTGTGTATTCAAAGTGGTTGGGATAGATATATAGTTACATTCTGTTAATGAATAGAATGATTTGCTCTAATGGTGTTTGTAAATAGGATCACAAGTCCACATCTTGTACAGCAATTAACCACTAAGAAGAATATATGCAGTGTATTATTTGTTGAAAAATAAAAAAAAAATAAAATTAAAATTAAAAAAAAATAAAGAAAGAAATATTTTCATCTAAAAAAAAAAAAAATCAAGGTGGAAATTAATACAATTCAAAGCCAGAAGTCAATAGGGAGAAAAAAAAATCTATGAAACCCAAAGCTAGCTCTTCGAAAAGAGCAGTAAAATTAGTAAGCCTTTAGCCAGGCTGAGGAACAAGGCAGAAAACGCCAATCACTATCATCAGAAAGGCGAGCGGCGCCACGGAGCCACCGGGGCCACCAGAGCCACCGGGGCCACCCGCATGCCGAGGACAACACCCTGGGCAACCGGCCGGGACCGGTCGGGACAGGACTCGTCTTGGCCACGTTCTCATTGCTGGGACAAAACGGCCGACACCCACATGTTAAAGAAGAAGAGGTTATTGTCGCCCATAGTCTGCGTCCGCAGGCAGCTGGCTCCGAGGCAGGGAGCAGAGGGGACAGCAGAGGACGACGGCCCGGGCGGGGCAGACGCCAGCCGAGTGACCGCGAGGGACAGGACTAACCCCACCAGGCCACGCCCCCAGCAGCCACCTCCTCCAATCAGGCTTCACCTCCCAAATCACTGTTAACAAATAAATTCACTGATGGGTATCATGTCCTCACAGTCCAGTCAGGCCCCCAAAGCCCCACTGATGAGCGCTTGAGGCTTTCAGGGGACATTTAGACTAACTACATAATGTGCCGTATGTACAAAGAAATTCCAGTCAAAAGCTAAAAAGCTTCCCAGACGTGGGTAACCAGGCCCAGGCAGGTTGGGGGGAAATCCTGGCGCATGCACGGCGGACTCTCGTCCCGCCCGCCGTTCCCCGCGATGCGTGAAAGCCCTTTGGTCCCTCCCCTTCCGAGAGCCCCGCCTCTGCAGCGCGGGAGCAGAGTGAGGCCAGCTCAGGGAGTGGCTGCTGGGGGGTCGCGGGCTCGGTCGGGGGCTCGGGCTGTCCCTCGCCTCCCGCCTCCAGGCCTCCTCCCACACCTGCTGCTGGCGTGCTCCTGGCTCACCGCAATCCCCACGCCGTGGAACCGCTGACCTCGGCCGCAGCCTCGGAACCACGAACAAACCCTTGCTTCCGTTAAATTGTTTTTCAGGTATTTTGCCACAGCAATGAAAAGCTAACTAGTACAGGAAATTGACATGCAAGGAGACATTATAGCACGTCTCCACAGCCTCTTCTGGAAGGCGGAAGCGCAGGAGCGCTTCTGAACTTATCCAGTGAGGTCACACTACCTTGATGCTAAGACCATTAGGAGGACAAGAAGCTGCAGATCTGTGTCTCTCTGAACATTGATCCAAAATGAGCAAATTTAATCCCACAGCAGAAAAGTAACTATACACAATGGATCAGGATTTGCACAGGTTATAAAAGGCTGGTTTGACATCTGCAGCTCACCTGACGCTTCCTTGGTCTCCATCCTGATGTCCTGTCCCTGGCTGTCACCTGGACTGTTGCTTGGAGCAATAAACTTGTTATTTCACCTTTCTAGTCTGAATATCCGTCACTGTCCTACATCTGATGACTGCAAGCTTGACTCAAACACAAACAGATCCCATCAACAGGCAAAAAAAGTTACACCATGAGACGACAAAAGACGTGACAAGATCCAGCTGCCATTGGTGTTAAGAACTGTTAGCACACTGGGAAAGCTTCTTCAACATAATAAGGAATCACTACAAGTATGGAGAACTAGCACCATGCTTAAGGGTAAGAAATTAGTAGCCTTCTTGCTAGATAAGGAAAAAGACAAGGCTATGCCCGCCTATAGTGGCTTTTCAACATTGTGCTGGAAACCCTTGGCAAAGCTGTAAGACAAGAAAAGTATACAGAAGGAAAAAAATAAAGGAATCAAAGGAAAACAAAATAAAACAAAAATCCCTAGAGGTAATAAGTGATTACATGTTTTGTTCGTTGGTTGGTTTTTTGTTTGTTTGTTTTTTGGTGGAACTGGGGATTGAACTCAGGCCCTTGCACTTGCCAGGCAAGCACTTATTCTACTGAGCTATCTCCCCAGCCCAGTAGTTAATCATTTTCCTATACAACAGCAATGAACAGTTGGAATTTGAAATTCAGACAAAATGCCATTACAGGAGCAGCCTCAGGATGAAATACCTAGGTACAAATACCACTAAAAATACGTATAAGGTCTATATGCAGAAAACTACAAAACTCTGGAGAATGCTGTCCACTAAACGAGTGGAGAGAAATGTCATGTATACAGTAGGAGACACTCAGTTTTATTAAGATATCCACCAATTCTTCCCATCTTGGCCTCTACACAATCCAATCAAAATCACAGCAAGCACAAGGGCCTGAGTTCAATCCCGGGTTCCACCAAAAAACAAAAAACAAAAAACAAACAAAAAAAAAAAATCACACCAAGTTATTGCACAAACTTGAGCAAACTGGTTCTCAGTTATGTGCAGGGGCCAGTTACCCAGGACACCCAACTCAGCCTTAAGGAAGGGCAGAGTCAGAGCACCGGCCTTGCCTGCCCTCCAGAGCTGCACCTCGGCACAGCTGAGGACTGAGCTTTTGCTGAACAAGTACACAGATTCCTGGAACAGAACAGAGTCCAAAAAAGACCGCTGCAAACACGGGGACAGAAGAAGCGAGGGAGCAAAGGCAGGCTCGTCAGCCAGCAATGTTGCAGCGGCTGGATGCTCAAGCACAACAAAACTAGTGTCCCTCCTGTCACCAAAGTTAACTCCCAGGGCATCACCGGCCTCTGGGAATGCGGAAAATGGGAAGACTTGGAAATCTGGGAGAGCAGAGCTGTACACAGTTCACAGAGGCAGCATCCAGAGTGGACAACGAGCCTTGGCATTCAACAGGAAGAAAATGAACAACCCAGTTTAAAACCGAGCAAGCGAGAGGACCACTTAGCAGAGGAGGTGGACAGAGGGCAGAGGGCGCGTAAAAGGACGCAGCGCAGTATGTGTCGCTGTGAACTGCACACTGACACAAGGGTGTGATGCCACGGCAGGCCTAGTGGAGGGGCAGGACTCCAGAACACTGCAGATGAAGAGGGGAAGCAGTGGGGCCTTGCACATGTGGCTGGGAGGCAGCACGGCGAACAGCAAGAGCTTCTTAAAACTAATCAGGCGCTTGCTGTATCACCTGGCAGCCGCACTCCCTATCACTTGGCTAAAAGAGCTGAAAACATGTGTGCACACAGACGTCCACACTTCCTACTGCTGGTGCCTGGACGCACCAAGATGGCCCTCGGGCAGGGACGGGTGGGGCGGGGGACACAGACGAGGCCCAGCCAGACCTTGCTGAGTGCTGTCGAGCTGCTGAGCCAGGAAAAGACGCCACGAACCCTAAATGTTTGCCGCTACACAACGGGGCCAGTCGGAAAAGGCGACAGCCCGTGTGATTCCAACCATACAACACTCTGGGAAAGCCAAGCCAAGGACCAGAAGAGCACCAGCAGTTTCCTGGAGGAAGCCCAGCAGGCAGTGGGGCAAGTAGTGCCAGTTCCATAGCTTGAGCTTCACACGAAGATAGATAGTCACAACAAAACTACTGCTCAGACTTCAGCGATCTTTCCGTGTCCGCATCCAGCCTACGTGTGTTCCCTTCTTCACCTGTGGGGGCCTGGGGCTGCCCGAGTCACAATCACTGTGCTCAGAACACTCCTTAGCACTATGATGCAGTCATGGGCATGGCAGCCCTCATCTGGATTCTGAGTTACTTGGAAGGCAGAGGCATGAGACCACGCGTAAGCTGAGTGTCGGCAACCTACCCAGGCCATCTCAGAGGAAAAAAGTTGGGATGTAGCTCAGGTGCCCTGGTTCAGTCTCAGGAACCGCAGAGCAGCAACAATGCACCAACATCTGTCTCATGCCATTGTGGCCAGGGCACTGCCCAGGTGGGGACCAGCATGGGGCCAGCTGGGCCGGGGACCAGTCAGAGAGGAAGCCTCTGAGCTTTTGCGCAGCTTTGCCACAAACCTAAAGTATTCTAAAAAGTACATTTTATTAAAGCGGACCCTTGTGTCCCTACATTCCTCAGGCCCCTCTGCAGAGCCACGGTGGCTTCTGGGTCCTGGGACCCCGAGCGACACGGGATGAGGCCACCACTGTGCCCTGCAGCAGGATGGCTGTGACGTCCAGATACACAAACTGCGAGGCACATCATGAATCGGAGATGACCTTGCCTCGGGTCCTGGGGGTGTTCAGATACCCATGACACATGAGGACGCTGCCCTGACGTTCCCGGGGCCTGTCCCCCTCACCTGTCCTGCTGCCCTCTTCACTAGGCCCGGCCTCCTCCTTCTGGCTCCTGGCGTTGCTTCTGGTGCAGCTCTGGTGGCTGACGACCCACTTGAGGATGCTGGAGGCCATGGTGCGCCGGAAGTCATCTGCAAGGCGCCGCGGCCTACTGGAGCTCCGTCCTGCCCCCGCCTGTCCTCTCCCTGGTCCTCCCTAGGCCCCACCCCCACAACCGAGTTCCAACTCGGACTCCGAGGTCCTGCCCCAGAGCCAAGTCTGCAGCCCCTCTGCAGCCTGGCGCAGAGCCGAGCTGGGCCTCCAGGCCCCTGCCCTGCTCCTCCCCGCCACCCAGCCCAGGCAGCAGAGGTCCCCGGAGGCCCTCACTCACCCACGAACTCCTGCTTCTCACTCTCCACGCACAGGCTGTAGCAGCGCGGGAAGAAGGCGTCAGGGTTGGCCTGGACGAACCACGGCAGGCTCCGCATGTTCACACACAGCCCGATCTCCAGGGACAGAAGAGTCAGGGCCCACAGGGAAGCCAGCGCCTGCCCAGCTGGGTACCTGCTTGGGCTTGGCCTGTGTGGCCTGAGGAGGCCCCAGGACCACCCAGACACAGCGCAGGGCAGAGAGGGGCAGAAGCGGGATGCCCCAGGGTGGGGTGGGGCCACACGGAAGCAGTCAGGGAGCAGAGAGCAGCCACCCCAAGCAGTCACCTTGGTGGTGAAGGACGATGTCTTCGCGTAGTGGTTCAGCATCTGGTCAGAGCTCAGGTTATGATAGTCCACGATGTCCCTTTTGATGGTCCAGAGGAAGTACGGCGTCTCATTCTTTACCAGCCTGGACTGGCAAGGAGAAACCTCCATCAACACCCTGTGTTCACAGTTCCCCTTTCTGCTGGACAGTTGGCACAATGCCAAAAGCCAGGTGTGGTGGCGGGCGCATGCCTGTGGTCCCCGTGCTCTGGTGGCTGAGGCAGGAGGATCACAGGTTTGAGCCCGGCCTGAGCAGTAGCAGGCGAAAGCCATGTCCAAATGAAAAGCAAGCAATCAGGGCTGTCCTGCAGCTCAGCGTATAGCTCTCAGGTCATCCGGAGTGGTGTGGCCGGCAACATTCTAACCCGGCGCTCCATCTCAGCTGTGGGCCACACACTTCTGATGGCCCACCCATGCTGGTGTGGAAGCAGCTTCGGAGCTGTGTCCTCTGCCTGGGCCCAGCATGTGGTCTGAGCTGCCCTCCCCAGGTGACCAGGTGCAGCTAAAGGGTGTGCCACCTGTCATCACTTGGTGACCAGGATGCTCTGTGACCCAGAGCAGAGCCCACAGGAACAAAGCTCCTGGGTGGCTCCTCCCTGCCCCTGTGAGGTGAGATCTCCCACTGTACAGAGCAGGGCAGGGGGATCTGGGGTATAGTGGACACCTGTGGCTGGTGCCTTTGCTGTTGATGACTTTCTGTTTACAAGCAGTGGCAAGTGTTTGCTCCAAACTTCTAACCATGAAAAAACACACTCCAAAGTCCGTGGTAGCCCCTGACCCCTGCCTTGGCAAAGACACTTCTGGGTCAGCTCCCACAGCAGGCATGTGCAGGCATGTGGGCCACATGGACAAGAGCACCTGTGTGTGTCTGCGGACCCAGCTCCAGGTCCCACGCTGGAAGTCTGCTGCTCTGGTCCCTGGTGGCGCCCAGCATGGGGCCACTCCCCGTCTTGCTCCCCGCCTATCAGCGGCAGAGTGGAATCTCCGGCATCACCCTGCCCTGCCCACTGCTGCCTGCATCTCTCCCCTCAGTCTGGAGGAGGCTCTGTCCCCAAGTTCACAGACTGACGTCCTCACCTTGAAGGAGAAGGCCCCTGGGAGGCAAGGGAAGCTGAGGGAGGAGCCCAAGAAATGCGGTTTAGGCCCTGCTACACCACCAGAAGACCAACAGGGCTCAGCCTGGAGCCGGCCCTGGGCTGTGCATGGAAGTGGGTGTCTGTCCCGAGACGCTGGAAGCTGCTGGTGCCCAGCCCTGGTCACACAGGCTGAGCTGAGACCCTGCTTCCCTTCATGGCTACATGTGGGGCTTTCCCAGAGCAGCAGCTGTGGTCTGAGTGGGTCCCCAGAAATGTGTGCCGGAGTCCCAGGCCTTGGGAGGTGATGTTAAGCCCTGAAAGGAGCAGGGCCTGGAAAGAAGGGAGCAGGCGAGGGCCTGTCTCATGCACTCAGCATTTCTGCCAGGCCTGGGGTGCACAGCAGGAAGACCCTCACTCAACAGGGCGCCTGGACCAGGTGAGTCAAACGGTCCTGGGGTTCCCTTGCAGGAACGCCCAGCAGACTAGGTAAGAGTGCGCACTACTCCGGCACAGCTTACGGCCCTGGGCTCACTGGCCCCTGGAGGTGGGCCGCCCTGTCTGCCTGTTTTTCTGTAAGTCACATTCTGTTTCTTCTCATGTTCTTACATGCAACTTGGTTTTTAAAATTATACGTACTACAAGTATCTTCTCCCACTTTGTAGTTAACTTTTTTCTTTTTTCTTTTTTCTTCTCTTCTCTTTTTTTCTTTTCAGGTCCTGGGGATTGAACCCACAGCCTTGCACTGTGCCACCTCTCCATCTTTTATTTTGAAACCAGCTTCCACTAAGTTGCTAAGTTGTCCATGCTGGACTCGACTTGAAATTCCCCTGCCTCAGCCTCCCAGAGTGCTGGGATTAGCCTTTATGTCCTCTTCAGGGAGGAGTGCAGTGGGCTGAGCCCCAGAGGAGCCACCTCTGGTGTGGTGGCAGGGTGGGGACCGCTGCCATATGCAGCAAGCTCCTGCAGGCCTGGCTGTCACCCTAGCCCTGGCCTCAGAGCACCCCGTGGTCCCATACTCATGGAGGACTTACAGGTGCCTGCTGTGGCCCTTTATGGGGCACAGAGGAAGCCAGCTTCTCTAGGCCCCTCCAGCTCGGACAGCTGACCCCACCCCAGGGCTCCTGGCTGCTGGAGCAGAGGCCGTAGTGACTCCTGTCTGCCAACCTCCCCAGCGACGCAGGCCCCAAGAGGGTGCTGGTGGGAGGGCAGAGGCCAGCTCACCTACCATCGCATCATGGATGTCTTCTGCTTTCCTTGAAGTCATTTCCTGATCTTCCTGGACCTTGACACGTTTGCCATCTGCAGATGACATGTGCAAGAGAGATGCTGGTGCCACCCTATGGGTCCCGGCCCCACACAGTCCCCACAGCAGACAGATGGCAGCATGGTCACCCCAGGTGCCCGCTCCCTAGTGGGGCCCCTGCTCTCACCCACCAGCACTGTGCCTGGGACCCTGGGGGCCCAGCCATCCTTGGGTGAGTGCAGCAGACTCTCAGGATAAAAGGTGAGCAGGAGGGGGTGTTTGATCTCCCATAGTCACAGAGACCCATCCAGGGCAGACCCGCTGGTCAAAGGCTGGGGGATGACCAGCAGGACTGTGGGAGCCTGGGGGCAGACTGCCAGGAGCTGGGGCTTGAAGAGGGATGGCCAGGGCCAGGTGTGGACCTGGGGATGCCAGGAAGCGACCAGTACTAGATAAGACACCAGAGCTGGCAGGGTAGCGGGTTGGACCCCAGCAGGCGTGGGCATCCTCACACATGACCCCCTGCGCAGAGGACCAGGGGTCCCTAAAACTCTACCAGTGATGCCCACATCTTCATCCTCGGGGCCTGGGAGGATCTTGGGCAGGAAGTGGGACTTCTTCTCCACCCAGCCCTTCCTCCGCAGAGTGGCCCGGATCACTGGGTAGTGTCCGCAGATAGCGAAGATCTTCTTTTCCTGAAAGGGCAGAGCGTGTCTGGGCCGCAGCACCAAAGCACAAGGTGGTGACGTCCTCCAGGCAGGGGGAGGACCATTCAGCGAGCGCAGTGTGTGCAGCAGGGCGTCGAGGCCGCTGGAGCAAGGTGCGCTTGTGTGTGTGCATACATGTGTGTGTGCCCGTGGACATGGGTGAGCGTGGATATGCGTGTGCATGTGTGAGCATGTGGCAGGGTCCACTACAGCCCACGTGAGGGACACCATTGCTTCGTGTGTCCCCTTCGCCGTGAGGCCTGGTACATAGCCACAAACTTGGGCTCACACACTTGTTGCACGCTCATTCACACACACAGCTAGGAGCCACGAGGAGCGGCCCCCGCTCTGGGTGCTGATGGCAGGAGGTGAGAGGAGACGCCACTGTGCAGGAGCCCGCTCGTGCAACCCGCCTGAGACACATCCTGTGTGGCCTTCCTCTCTGCAGAGCTCACCATCCGCCCCATCCCTGGAGGGCCAAGGCCCCTGAGGCAGGCAGGAGCCCGGGATGGGTGAGCGGGCAGGCAGGAGCCCGGGATGGGTGAGCGGGCAGGCAGGAGCCCGGGATGGGTGAGCGGGCAGGCA